TAATAATAATAATAATAATAATAATAATAAAGCAGACCCAGCAAGCAGCATCTCTGTTTAACCCTGTTAATTAAGCTGCTCTGCAGGGCTTGTGTGCAGCACACAAAATGTGCCTTCTGGTGGAGATTTTTCCCTCTGGAAAGCCCGGAATTCCTTAGCTTTTCCCTGGCAGTTACCCCTCCTACATGCCAATCCTGCAGAGAGCCATCGAGCTCTGGTACCACGACCCAGCCTGCACCACCCCTGTCCTCAAACTCATGGCTGAGCTGGTCCACAACAGGTACGAGCCTGGGAACTGGCCGGGATTTCCTGGAATGCTCGGGCTTGGAAGGGCTTGGAAGGGCTTGGAAGGCTCGTCCCCTTCCCTCTGTGTCTGTTTGTTGCTCCGTGTGGGTGTCGCTGCCCTGTTGTGTTTTCTCCCTCCTTCGATCTATTTATGCTCCAAAAGCTGCCAGGGGGGGACAGAAGGGGGGGAAACTGGGATTGTTCCAGGAGGGAAGAAAATCCCACAGATCGGATCCCGCAGCTCCATCAGGCCGAGACACGATCAATAACCGCTGGATGTTTTCATTCCCAAGGGCAGCACTGGGAGGTGGGGGCAGGAAATTTGGTCCCTTTTAAAAACCCGGCTTTCAGATGGACCTTGTTCCCCCTGGCAGCCACTTTGCTCTGGAGCCTCAGCCCTTCCCTGCCAGCAGAGAGGGACCTGTGACGCTGCTGGGATAATTCAGGAGCTGTCTAAGCTGGCATGGGAAGGTTGCCAGGATGATGCTCTGGCTCCCAGCCGGCTGAGCACAACCCTGTGGGAAGGGGCAGAGCTGTTCCAGGGACACAGGGTTCGGGCACAGGCCTTGGGGAGCTCTTGGGAATGCGTCCTGCCAGGCTGCATCTTTGCAGCCGGGGCACAATCCCGGCTGGAAACCATCCAGGCATTTATTCCAGAGGTGAACTGGGCAGCTGGTTGTGATTCAGTTGTCAGGCTGAGTCACTGCAGGGGCACAAGTGCCAAGCTGGGACTCGCTGGTGCTGCCCTGAATAGGGGCCAGTCAGGCCGGGCTGCAGGGCCTTCCAAGAGGTTGTGTTTGGGAGCAGTATCCCAGTGACTGATTGATTTCCAGCCTCAATCCCATAATATTCCTGACATCTGAGAAATACAGGGCCTTTCTTCTGCCACAGCAGAGCTCCTCTGGCCCCGAGTGCCTGTGTCCTGTGTGGTGTTGGGGTTTCCTACCAGGGCAGGGTGGGAACTCAGGGAGCATCCGGGAGTCCCAGAACCAGCAGCTCCTGCACTGGTGGCTCTGGTTTTGCTCCCAGCTGTGTTTGAGCTGCAGTTTCCAGTCCCAGAGTGGTTTGGGTTGGAAGGGACCTTAAAGCTCATCCTGTTCCACCCCCTGCCATGGGCAGGGACACCTTCCACCAGCCCAGGTTCCTCCAGCCTTGCCTTGGACACTTCCAGGGATCCAGGGGCAGCCACAGCTTCTCTGGGAATTCCACTCCAGCCCCTCCCTACCCTCACAGGGAGGAATTCCTTCCCGGGAACCGTGCCCTGTGTCCTGTCCCTCCATCCCTTGTCCCCAGTCCCTCTCCAGCTCTCCTGGAGCCCCTTTAGGCCCTGGAAGGGGCTCTCAAGTCTCCCTGGATCCTTCTCTCCTCCAGGTGAACCCCCCCAGCTCTCCCAGCCTGGCTCCAGCCCTGGGATGAATCCAGCGTGTCTCTAACCATTCCCTGTGTTTCCCTCAGATCCCAACGGCTGCAGTTTGACGTGTCCTCTCCCAATGGAATCCTGCTCTTCCGAGAGACCAGTAAAATGATCACGACCTACGGTGAGTGGCCCTGGGTGGGATCCAGCAGCCTTGGGCTGCCCTGGACTCCCCCGTGGCTTGGGAAGGCTCCAGGAGCCAGGCTGGGGAGCAGTGCCAGGTGGATGCTTGGATACAGGGAGATGGTGCTGCTGGAAGCGTGGGGTGGGCAGGCAAGGAGGGGGAAACAAGGAAACAGGAGCCAGGCTGGGCCCCTGCGAGGGTGACGCCATGGAGAACATTCCTGTCCCCACAGCAAAATACACTGAGTTCTCCTGAAAAATCACGGAATGGTTTGGGCTGGAAGGGACCTTAAAATCATGGAGTTCCACCCCCTGCCATGGGCAGACACACCTTCCACTAGCCCAGGTTGCTCCAAACCCCGTCCAACCTGGCCCTGGACGCTCCCAGGGATGGGGCAGCCACAGCTTCTCTGGGAATTCCATCCCAGCCCCTCCCAGGGAGAAATTCCTTCCCAGTATCTCCTCTAAATTCCCCCTCTGTCAGCTTAAGGCCATTCCCTTTGTCCTGTCACTCCGTGGCTTTGTGAAAATGCCAGAGGAGCCACACTTTTCACTGGTACCAGTCTCCCTAACCCTCACCTGGGGGACAAATCCTCGGTGGGCTCAGCCCCTCCTTAACGGCTCCGCTTGGGTTTTCCTGCTCCCCCTGAGTGGGAAGGCTTTGGATGCAGTGCTGGAACGCTGACCCCGCTTCTGTGCCGTGCAGGGAATCGCATCCTGACGCTGGGGGAGGTCCCCAAGGATCAGGTCTACGCCCTGAAGCTCAAGGGCATCTCCATCTGCTTCTCCATGCTGAAGGCAGCGCTGAGCGGCAGCTACGTCAACTTCGGGGTGTTCCGGCTCTACGGGGACGACGCCCTGGACAACGCCCTGCAAACCTTCATCAAACTGCTGCTCTCCATCCCCCACAGCGACCTCCTGGTGAGCATCACACTGGGAACACCCCGGGAAGCAGGGTTGGGAGGTTGGCTGGGAAAGGGATCGCGGAGAGAAGGGAACTCGCGCCCCTGGGAGGGGAATGGCAGCTCCTGGAATGTGCAGCAGCGGGTCCTGTGTGAGGGGTGTTACCTCCCCACCCAGATAATTCCCCAAGTTCGGGTTGGAAGGGACCTTAGAAATCATCCCATGGGCAGGGACACCTTTCACCAGCCCAGGTTGCTCCAACCTGGCCTTGGACACTTCCAGGGATCCAGGGGCAGCCACAACTTCTCTGGGAATTCTATCCCAGCCCCTCACCACCCTCCCAGGGGAGAATTCCGTCCCAGTATCCCAGATGTTGAATTTTTGGGTGACTTGGCACCTGGAGAGGTCCAAGTTTCCTGTGGGAAAACAGCAACCAGTGGGAAAGAGGATTTAATAGACCAGATTTGGGAACCTGCTGGATGTGGAATGGTTTTGTTGAGGGAGAAGGAAGGGGGGAAAAATCTGTTTGCCCATAAATATGCTGGAAGAGGAGTTGGTTTGTTCTTTCCAGGTGATTAATAAAGGGTTGGGTCTAGAAAGCCTCAACTGATGGTTCCAGGGTAACCATGAAGACTTAAAACTCTTCCTCTCCTCCTTTCCCTACAGGATTATCCCAAGCTCAGCCAGTCCTACTATTCCTTGCTGGAAGTTCTTACCCAGGACCACATGAACTTTATAGCCAGTCTGGAGCCTCATGTAATCATGTATATTCTCTCTTCCATTTCAGAAGGTCTCACTGCACTAGGTAATTCCTCCTGCTCTCTGTTGTGTTTTCAGGGATTTGGTTTGGAAGTGGAGAGAGAGATTTGGGAGAGTTTCAGGATAACAGATGGAATGTCCCTTGTGAGAACGGGCAGAGGAGTTTCCCCTCTGTTAAAGGTGGAATGTTAGAGAGAGGGAGGGAGAGGTTGGACCAGGTGACCCCACCACTGGTCCCTTCCATCCCTGTGAATATCATGGAATCATGGAATGCTTTGGGTTGGAAAGGACCTTAAAGCCCATCCAGTGCCACCCCCTGCCACGGGCAGGGACACCTTCCACTAGCCCAGGTTGCTCCAACCTGGCCTTGGACACTCCCAGGGATCCAGGGGCAGCCACAGGGAAGAATTCCTCCCCACTCTCCCATCTATCCCTGCCCTCTGGCAGTGGGAAGCCATTCCCCTTGTCCTGCCCCTCCAGGCTCTTGCCCAAAGTCCATCTCCACCTTTCTTCCAGCTCTTTCCAAGCACTGGAAGGCCACAATTAGGCCTCCCTGGATCCTTCCCTTCTCCAGGCTGTACATTCCCAATTCTTTAGCCTCACACCAGGGAGGAGGTTTCTGACCCGTTCAGGATTGGGGCAATTTTTGCTCCTCAGACCCCAAAACGCCCCCGAGAAGCGTCGCTGTTCCCCCGGGGAGCCTTTCCAGCAGCATCCCAACATTCCCGCTCTCCCTGTTCCTGCAGACACCATGGTTTGCACGGGCTGCTGCTCCTGCCTGGACCACATTGTCACTTATCTCTTCAAGCAACTGTCCCGCAGCACCAAGAAGAGAACGACCCCCCTGACCCAGGAGAGCGACCGCTTCCTGCACATCATGCAGCAGCACCCCGAGATGATCCAGCAGGTAATTCCCGAGCCCTGGAGCCTCACCAGCTCCCTGAATATTCCCAGCATGATGTCACACAGGCCCTGCTTTCTCCCTGCTCTGCAGCCCCCAGGGTTTTCTGGAATAAACAGGGTGGGTTTTTGTTTTGCTGGCACTGCGTGTGTCCCACACAGTCCTCGTGGGGTGGGTGTGATGCCGTGGGATTCCAAGCCCTGCTCCAGGGATGTGGTTGTCCCCTGTGCAAGGAACACCATTTTGGCCTTTCAGATTAGCCAAAAAAATGAGCTTTTGGCTTTTAAGAGAAACACAGCTCTGGTGTTCTCCAGCCTCACTCACTGGGACTTGTCAAAGTGTCAGCACAACTCCCACGTGGAAACAGGGAATATTGGGATGTTGTTCCACCCTTGCTGGTGGATCAGGTGCCAAGCAAAGCAGGCTTTTCTGGGGGCTAGAGGCTGTATTTTCTGAGGCTAAAAAAGAGAAACTGCATCTTCCAGCCCAGCTAAGTTGGATCCTGGCCTGAGCCTAAGGAGGCTGTGGAGGGAAAGGCAGGGAAGGGTGAGAGGAAACTCCTCAGGGCATCCAAACGTTCCCCTGTTTAGGGAAGATGAGACAATACTCCCTGGCTGCCTTGGGGCAGGATGGGATGTGTGGGGAATCCAGCAGTTCATGGAGGCTCCAGCTCCTCCCACGATGGGATGGGTTAATGTTGGACTCATGGAATGGTTTGGGTTGGAAGGGACCTTAGAGCTCATCTCATCCCACCCCCTACCATGGGCAGGGACACCTTCCACTGTCCTAGGTTGCTCCAACCTGGCCTTGGACACTTCCAGGGATCCAGGGGCAGCCACAGCTCCTCTGGGAATTCTATCCCAGCCCCTCCCCGC